TTGTCCATGGCACACATGGTAGGTTCCAATCCAGATATGTTGAACTCTAAAACATGAGGTTTTGGGCAGCCCGAGTGGCTCAGCAGTTTAGCACCACCTTCAGCCCAGGGTCTGGTCCTGGAGGCCTGGGATCGAGTCCCACATCAGGCTCCCTGTGTGGAGCCTGTTTCTCCCTTTGCCTGTGTCTCTGCCTCTCTCTTTCTCTCATGAATAAATAAAAATCTTTTAAAAAAAAATGAGGTTTTAATCTCATTATTGAATAGTGTCCTATGGCCTAGATGAGGCTTCATTTATGCTCCTCATACTAGACAGAACATGATTGTAAAACTGTATAGGGAGTGTTTTTAACTAGGCAGACTGAAAATAGGAAGTTGCTGGCAAGAAATAGAGTATGGAGGGAGGGCAGTAGATGTATGGAACAGATTATCCAGCGCTGGTGTCTGATTTGCAGTTGTTTTTTCCCCTGGTTAGAACTGAGCTTTGAGTCAACTTTGAACCCTTCTTGGACTTACTTGGGAAACCTCCAAGAGATTGCTACTATTGGATAAGTTCCGGAAATATGGTTGTTTACTTTTTCAAAAAGATAATTGATAAGTGAGAATAGATATGATTAGGGACTTTAAACATCTGACATTATTTTTTGTTGTTGCCTTAGCAACAGATGCAGATGCAGACATTGATGACGTATGAACATAATTGCAGATACACACAGGCACATAAGCCCACAAGACAGATTCTCTGAATGATTTTGTGGTCATGATAGTCTGTTATATTTTCAACATTGACTGTTTTTCAAAATACTAATAGTTACATAGCATTTTATAATTAACAAAATACTTGAAAAGATATTTTTTCCCACTGTACAAGAAAGGTGGTTCTGTCTTCATTTTGTAAATGAAGAAGTAGGCTTACAAGGCTTGCCTGGGGAGCTAGAACTTGAGCTCAGATCCTATGACTTTTAGAAAACTCATGTGATTCGTTTTTAATTCTTATACTTATTATAGCTCAAAGTGGAAAATGAACCATAAAGATGCACAAGATAGAATTCTTTTTTTTTTTTTTAAAGATTTTATTTATGTTATCTCTACACTCAGTGTGTGGTTTAAACTCACAACCCCAAGATTAAGAGTCGCATGCTCTACTCTATGAACCAGCCAGGTGTCCAAAGTAGAATTACTTCTAATGTATCAAAATGAGTATAAAAATAAGTAAAAATGTAAAACAGTGACAATTAGAAGGTAGCCTGTATGTGAATGTGTGTGTCAGTAGGTATTTTTTAGTCCTGGGAGCCAAGATAAATTATTTTGTTGACATTTTCCTGTGCTGTTGTGCCTATGTAGGCCTGAGTCCTCTAGGAGAGGCAGAAAGTTAGTGGTGTATGATACTAGGCCTGATCTGTACCAGGCCCTCAGCAAATTCATGATCTAATTGGGATGACAAAACCAGACTTTAAGACAAGATGTATTCACTAGTTTGGTGCTTGGATTGTGTTACCTCCATATCTCACAAAACCCTTATTGCATTTTATAGGTGAGGAAATCAAGACTCAGCAATGAAGTAGTATTGAAGTCAGAGACAGCAGTAGTTAAACTAGGAATGGAATTGAGCCTCTGACCTTTCTTTTTTTAAAGACTTTTCATTTTGGAGGGAGAGAGGACAGGCAGGGGGAGAGGAAGAGGAAGAGGAAGAGGAAGAGAAAAGCAGACTCCCTGCTGAGCCCTGAGCACACAGCCCCATGTCATGTCCCTGAGATCATGACCTGAGCCAAAACCAAGAGTTGGACACTTAACCGACTGAGCCACCAGGCGCCCCAAGCCTGTGATCTTTCTAATACTAGGGCCCACCGTCTCTTTAGTGTGTCAGTATTGCTTCTCTATGTACCAGTAATGTTGTTCCAGCTTGTTCAAGAGAGAAATAACTGGGTGTGAAGGTTTAGGAAAGAGGTAGGACCTCAGCCAGTCACTTAACACAAATGTGACTTTGATAGAATGGCAGAGATGGTACTCTGGGCAAGAGAAAATGATATGAACAGTCAGAGGAATTTGCATACCTTCTTTGGGTGATGCTGAGGAGAGCTCTATAGCTGGAGAAGAATAGAGAGAGGAGGGGGCTTCAGACTGATACTGTCCATTTTTACTTTTTTCCCCACAGGGAGGTACTGGCCAGTGAAGCCATCCTTAATATTCCTGACAAGTCTGACTGGAGGCAATGTCAGCTCAGCAAGGAAGAGGAAGAGATGCTGGCTCGCCGCTTCCGGAAAGACTTTGAGCCCTTTGACTTCACTCTGGATGACTAAGTAAAGGGAAAGGCACTTTATGAACTTGACAGGAAGTATTAGTAGCTTGTTTTTTTAAGAAACTACAGTCTCCCATGGGGACTGTTACTCTGCCTCTTTTTTGTGCATTCCTATGGAACCTGCCTGCAGCAAGAGGCTTGAAATTATTTTTTGGAAAATATTTGTAGGATGAAAATCCTGTTAAAATTAGCATGTCTGTCATCCAGCTCCAAGAACAGCTTATGTTAATCAAAATTTTCAGAAACATTAAACTCTCAAATAAAATCCAAATGCTTTTCCATGATTGGGAAGTATCTTATGTATATGTTACTTATACCATTAAATGAAGCAGTGTGTGTGTGTGTGTGTGTGTGTGTGTGTGTGTGTGTGTGTAATAGGGTCTAGGGCTTTAGGCCTAGCTGTTATTCTAGGATCTCACAGCTGGCTTCTTCCTGAACAATCTAGGGTAAAGAAGGGACCTAAAGCCTTCACCATTTTTCTCTTACAGCACTCATCTGATTGATATAAAAGAGCTCTTACAGCCCTTTAGCAAATACTTAATCCTATGTGCCAGGCATTTTTCTGGACTCCAGGAGTATGGCCATGTCCCAACGTGGTCCCTGTTATCCCAGATTTTACGGTCTAATTGGAAAGAGAAGGGGCAGATTTTAAAAGAAATCTTAAACTTTAAAAGAAAGTTCAGTTCTGCTTTGGATATGTTGAGTTGTAGTATGCTGTTGGGTAGTTCTAAATTCATGGACACCTGGGTTGGTAATAGCGCTTTGGGGATCAAGGTATAGACCATAGCTGAAATTATGAGAATGGATGAAAATAAGATAGGATGAATATAGTCCTAAACTGCAGATGAATATCTAAGAAGCATCAATATTTAAGGAGTCCTTGGAAATAGAGTGGTCCACAAGTACATGAAAAAGAGAGGGAAAGATCACAGAATGCTATATCTTGGAAGCCAAGAGAAAAATAATTCCTTTATATTGGGCATTTATGGCCCAAACAGTTTCACTTAATCCTTACAGAACCTCTGAGGTAAGCATTATTGCTTCCATTTTATATGTGAAAAAACAGACTCTCAAACTTGAAGATTGTGAAGCCTAAGGTTGACTATTCCAGGATTTAAAAACAAGCTATGCAGCATCCCTGAGAATGGGGATGTGAAGAGTCAACTATGGCAAAGAACCTGGTTCCTGCAACTATGACCACTTCAGGGTCAGCGCACTCATCAGTATCCCTCCCTAGCTCTTCCAAGTGAGCGTTACAAGAATATGGCTCCAACTGTGGAGATCAAACATACCCTGGTGCTAGCTATGCAGTACACCTAGCAGACAAAGGGCTTTATATGTTAGGGGCAATTGGTACCACAATCATCTGTGCAGTCTGCCCAACTCTAGCAGATGTGTTTGGGAAGTACCATTTGCCATCACCTCCAAGTCTGATACTCCAGCTCCATGGCAACCAAGCACATGTAGGAATCCATCATCTGCTACCACACATTACTGAGGCCTAACACCGTAACACGGCTTGTACATGCCATGCTCAACATTTTGGTTGTACCATTCAGGGATTCTGAATCAATAGATGCATGTTCTCTGCCAGAAGCCAATTCAATACTTTCAAAGCAGCCAGCAACACTGCTGTGATGCACATGCTGTATTCATCTTTAGGCTTCTCAACATGTTAATCTGTGGGTCACAAAGTGTTGGTTGGAATTTAAGTACTGAGATCACAGGTGGGACTGTGCAAACAATGGCCCAAGTGCACATGATGTCAAGGGGTGTTCAAATGACTACTTTATGGAAGCAGTAACTGATATATTTCTTCAGAGAACTGGATGCCATAGTAATTTTTATACCCAGTTCTGGATATACTGACTGGATCCCCAAGTTCTGTGAGGCTGAGGCATATGACCAACTTAAAGTGAAAATGGGAGGTTGGTTCTTCCATGCTAAGGCTATCTGCCAATGGCAAATGCTTCTAGTTGCACCAACAGCATTCCTGAAGCTTGCCTCTGCAGCGCTGCATCACGAATCAGACACAGTTCCCTCAGTGAGGAACTGCTGCACTGGCAAACCCATTAATGGAAGACCACTGGACTGCAACCTCCATGAGGCACTTCGGGGAAAATTCCCCAAATCAGGAGGAACATTCTTGACTCCACAACAGTGTCACATCCTTGAGTCCTTTGTGATTACAGGCGAGATCCTGGTACAGGTGTACAGAAGTCAAGCAAAAGATCTGAGCCTGATTTTATGGAAGATGATTAATCATTAAAAAAAAAAACCATAAAGTGTAATACATCGGTAGACGTGTTAGCGCAGGATTCTTTATAGTTTTTCGGATTCCGCAATATTTGAATCACTGGTGGCTTCTGCCAGTGCCACTTCAGCGAGCGGTGGAGTTGGAGGATAGATGGTAGAGGTCTGAAGAAAAGGTGAAAAGCAGACAGGGTGGAGACGATGTGGAGTTTAGAAAATGACTTGAATGGAGAGCTTATAGTTTGGAAGCCTGGGAAATCCTATGTGGGTTCTCTCAGCCAGGAGAATGCCCAGGAGACTTAGCGGCCTGAAGGCTAGCTGCCCTCATCCCGACCCTTTCTCTGGCCAGGTTCCTGCGTGCCCCCGGGAGCAGCCAGGGAAGGGCTTTTCCTGTGGCGGTTCCCGGAAGTGACGCACACATCTCGCGAGAAGAAAGACGCGCGAGTCTCGGCGGCCCGGAACCGGCCTGGGAAGAGTGGCTGAGCTTCAGGCCGCCAGCCCTCCCGCCCCATGGAGCGGCCCCCGGGGCTGCGGCCGGGCGCGGGCGGGCCCTGGGAGATGCGGGAGCGGCTGGGCACTGGCGGCTTTGGGAACGTCTGTCTGTACCAGCATCGGGTGAGGTGGGGCGCGAGAGGGAGCGGCGGTGGGTGTTTGTCAGAGCGTTTGTGGAACACAGCGACTGTCAGTACGTGAGGCATTGTCGGTGAGACTTTGGGCAGCACTGTGGGCCGGCGAGCCTGTGTGAGTGAGTGTGTGGTACTGTGCTTGTGAGTCCGGTGACGGAGTCCGAAGCTGTATCTGAGGTCCTGGGTCAGTGTGTGAAATGGAGCTCTTGTGGGGAACTTTTGGTATGAACGTCAAGAAGTGACAAACTGTTGACCGAGTGTGACACTGCGTATGTGTCTCCGAATGTAGAGGGTGTCGGGATGTGGGAGGCAGAGCCACATTAGAGTGTGCATTGTGAGCATGAATGGGTGAGAAAACGGGACTGAAGAAGGGGGTTGTCTGCTGGAATGTGTGTTCAGGTGTGTGCTTGGAGGCTGTGTGATATTTGTAGGGGCTGGAAGAGACAAGGAAAGTTTCGGAAGCATCCAGTAGGCTTCAGATCTTGGAATGCGTTCTGAGTAGGGAACAGTGTGAGGATCAGCTTGGTGAAATGATCATGGCTTCCTAAGGGAAGGAAGTGGATTGGGCGTGAGGTGGAAGACAGCAAACTAACATCGGAGTCAGGAATTTTGCTTCAATTTAATTGAAAATGTTTAAGCATTTAGCAGCAGTTAATAATCATGTTTGAGCCATGCATCTTTCAGTATACCAATAAAAGCTATGAAACCTTTCCCCAGCAAAATGCACATTTGCACATCCCCACCACCTTATGTGTTGCCATTTGAGGGGGCTCATGCTCTCCTGAAGGATGTTCACAAACCTTTTAGAGGTATTAACCCTTGACTGATAATCTTTGCAGTGTTTCCTTTGTTTTTGTCATCTGTATTTTGTGTAAAATAATTATATACATCATAGGTCTGTTTGAAAGTTAAATAAGTTAATATGGGTAAAGCTAAGTACAACACCTGGCCTAAGTTAAGCCCTCAAGTGTTAGCTCCTGCTGCTGTTGTGTTGTTGATATTGTCATCTTCTTTACCATTATTTTGTTTTCTTCTTTACCATTATTAATTAAACTTAAAAAAGGGTACGTCAAGATAAAAGTGGCGCCCTTGGAAGACTGTTTTGTAAAAGATAAATCTGAGTGAAAAACATGGGACAAGATGAACAATTACAATATTATTAAAATGCTTGCAATTGGCTTGTAAAGGGAATAAATGAATTCAAGATTTGCTTGAATCTTAAGGGGTATGGGTAGAGAGCCCATAATACAGGATGAGAGGTAGGGGCATGGGAGTATACCTGGGAAAAATAGGTATGTTTGTGTGGCAGTCACAATGACAAATGTCAGTGATGGAGCTGAGGAAATGTTGTGAAGCAGCTTTCTAGATAGAGCATGGGAGGACATCTTGAAGAGAGGGAGAATGGGAGGTGAAGGACTAAGGCATTAAGTACTCTGACAGCTAAACAAGTAGTAAATTTAATAATTCTCACCATCAGAGAGTACATAAGGCACTTAAAGAGAAAAAAAGGAGCCAAGTACTTCCAGTGAAATGTTGCCTTTGGTGTTGTTATCTAAGCCTGTTCATTAGCTGGTCATAAAAAATATATATGCTTGGTAGCTTTGTGACTGCTTTTCTTGGTCACTGGTTGGGGATAAATCAACACATCATTTTTTTAAAAAATTGTGATAAGGTATATATAATGTGAAATTTACAGTCTTAACCATTTTTAAGTATACAGTTCAGTGGCATTAAGTACATTGACAGTGGTATGCAACCATTACTACCATCTATTTCTAGAACTTTTTCACTTTACCAATCTGAAACTGTATTCATTAAACAATAACTCCCCATTTCCTCCGCCCCCTGCCCCCTGGCAACCACCTTTCTACTATCTGTCTCCATGGAATTAATTACTTATTAAATGGAAGAGATTTGGGTTCCTCTAGAATCCTAGAAATCTCTCAGGAACTTTCCAGGTATCTAGACTGGTTCTTTCCTCAAATTGGAACATTTGACAACTGGGCTTGTAGTGGAAAGAGAAGAAATACTCTGTTCTAAGACTTGGAAATAGCTTCATTACTTTTCCAAGCCTGACTTTGGATTTGCCCTTAACAGTTTTCAAGATCTTTGTGTTTTGGTGGAAGCCACGTCCCCAGTATTTTATCTATATCTCTTAAATCACAATGAGGAAGAGAAAAGGATGTGAGATGGTTTATTTATCTGATTATTATGCTGGGATGGGTGCTGATGGTATCCCAGTCAACAAAAATAGTATTTTCTGCCCTCAAGGAGATTTCAAGTCTAGTGGGAGAGGTAGACACAAAAACACTTTAAGTACAGTGTGGTAACCTATATAACAAATATATTTATAAAGTGATATGATAGAGTGGCAAAAATAACCAAAGAATTCTTCCTAGGGAATAATGTAGCACTTCTCAAAGTGTGTTTGGGAAAATTAGTCCTGTGAAATGCTTTGAAAAAAGGATACTGTAGTCAAATACAATGGGTAAATTCTGTATGTAATATTGTTTCACTTGGAGAGTGATAATCTACATTAGCATATTAAAAGCTCTGAGAAGTTCTTTAGTAAAGAAACTAATTTAACTTTGTATTTTCCAGTTTTTTTATTTTGGTAAAATAGATAGCATTTACCATTTTTAAGTGTACGGTTCTGTGGTTATTAAGTACATTCACATTGTTGACAACAATCACCACCATCTGTCTCTGGAATATTCCCATTTTTTAGGGCTTATTGTTTGTGGTTGTACCACATTGTCTCCATGGTGGTAAAAGCTTACATGAGACCTAACTACAGCCAGGTACCTGCTCAAAACGGAAGAAAGGTTGAAGGGAGTTAGGACTGTATTTAAGCTAGATTGTAGTGTGTCCTAATTACTTTCTTCTTTCTTTGTATATGGACTTATTATCTCTTTTTCCCCTTCATCATCCTTCTGTTCTCATTTAGAATTTCCTACACAAATTAATGTCTTGCTTCTTCATCTATATACTGTATTGTTTTTTCTTCCTCTTTGGGCCTAACTGCTCTTCCTGGGCTGCATTATTACTGTTGCCAGAATGTGATGAGTCTGGCTATTTCTGTAATGTGCATCAGGTTGGGTTTAATTTCGGTCAGAATTGGCTAAATTACCAGAGCTATTAAGTTCATTTTATAGATACGGAAATAGAAATATGGCCATTGTTAGGATTTTTTAAATGTCATTTGAAACGTAAAGATTAGGAACACATTTTGGAGTTTTTTGTTGTTGTTGGTTTGGTTATATTGAAGCTATTTCTTGCTAGTGAGGCCAGGTAGCCCTGAATTATCATCTTCATTCTAGTTACACTGAAGGCTGGGGTCCTTGTTAGCTGTCTTGATTAAGCTTAAAAAGGGGTTTGTTGGGGAGACTGGTCTTTGTATTTTTCTAGCTCTGTGTGGGAGACAAGTTTTCTGAAGAGACCTGTAATGGGATCAGCCTCAGTTACTTTCTGCTTGTGTGCTTTGATATGTTTGAACTTTGATTGATTGTTTCTTCTCAAGCCAACTTGGAACCTGAGAGTCTCACTTTTCATAACTTACAGCTTTTCTTAGTATTTCTAAACAAAAATTGTTACCTAGTTACCTATGAACCAGGGTGACAGGTGTGACTTTTCTTAAATCACTAAAAAAAGTAAAAGGGATTTGGTTCATTCTATAAAGAAGTGTTCATTTAAGTATTATTAAAAATCCTCAGCTCTAAATATATTAATACAAGAGGTCTTTTATTTTATTTCCTCTTAGAGAAAAAAATGTGTCTGTCTGATCTTGGGCATTTGACCTGTCAAGATTTTTTTCCCTCTCTTTCTTTTTTCTTCTTTTTTATTGCTTTTTATTTTAATTCCGGTAAACATACAGTGTTATATTAGCTTCAGGTGTACAATATAGTGATTCAAAAATTTTGTATATTACTCAGTACTCATTATTATAAGTGTACACTTTAATACCCATCATCTATTTCACCCATCTCCCCACCTACCTCCCTTTCTGGTAACCATTGGTTTGTTCACGGTAGTTAAGAGTCTGTTTCTTGGTTTGTCTGTCTGTCTGTCTCTTTCTTTGCTTGTTTGTTTTGTTTTTTAAATTCCACATATGAGTGAGATCTTGGTATTTGTTTTTTTCTGGCTGACTTATTTAGCATTATACTCTAGCTCCATCTGTGTTGTAGCAAACGGCAAGGTTTCATTCCTTTTTATGGCTGAATAACATTCCATTTTATACTACATCTTTATCCATTCATCTATTGATGGACACTTGGGGTTGCTTCCATAATTTTGCTATTGTAAATAATGCTGCAGTAAACGTAGAGATGTCTGTGTCCCTTTGAATTAGTGTTTTTGTAGTTTTTGGGGTAAATACCCAGTAGTGTGATTACTTCACCATAGGGTAGTTCTGTTTTTTAACTTTTCACAGTACCTCTATACTGTTTCCCACAGTGGCTGCACCAGTTGCATTCCTACCAACAGTGCACAAGGTTTTTCTCCACATCCTCATCAAACTTGTTGTTTATTGCGTTTATTTTAGCCATTCTGACGAGTGTGAGATGATATTTCATTGTAGTTTTGATTTGCATTTCCCTGATGATGAATGATGTTGAGCAACTTTTCATGTTATCTGTTGGCCATCTATGTATCTTCTTTGGGGAACTGTCTATTCATGTCCTCTTTCCATTTTTTAGTTGGATTACTTGTTTTTTGGATTTTGAATTATATCAGTTTTTACACTAACCTTTTACCAGATATGTCATTTCCAAATATCTTCTTCCATTCAGTGGTTGCCTTTTAGTTTGCTGATTGTTTCCTTTGCTGTGCAGAAGCTTTTTTTTTTTAAAGATTTTATTTATTTATTCATGAGAGACACAGAGAAAGAGATGCAGAGACATAGGCAAAAGGAGAAGCCGGCTCCCTGCAGGGAGCCCAGTGCGGGACTAGATTCCAGGACCCCAGGATCACGCCCTGAGCCAAAGGCAGACTATCAACCACTGAGCCACCCCGCTGCCCCTGTGCAGAAGCTTTTAATTTTGATGTAGTCCCAATGGTGTATTTCTGCTTTTATTTCCCTTTCCTCAGAAGACATATCTAGAAAAATGTTGCTATGGCTAATATCAGAGAAATTACTGCCTGTGTTCTTTTCTGGATTTTTATGGTTTCAGATCTCATATTGATGTCTTGAATCCATTTATCTATCTATCTATCTATCTATCTATCTATCTATCTATCTATCTATCATACATGCATGATGCAGGGGAAGGGGGGTGGATGGGAAAGTCAGAGGAAGAGAGAGAATTTTAAGCAGGCTTCATGCCCAACATGGAGCCCAAAAAAGAGCTTGATCTCACAACCCTTGAGATCATGACCTGAGGCAAAATCAAAGAATCAGATGCTCAATTGACTGGTGGGCCCTGACCTCCCTGTATTTAACCCCTTTTGAGTTAATTTTTGTGTATAGTGTAAGAAAGTGATCCAGTTTTATTCTTTGCATGTAGCTGTCCAGTTTTCCCAACATCATTTGTTGAAGAGACTATTTTTTTCCCATTGCATATTCTTGCCTCCTTTGTCATAGATTAATTGAACATATAATTGTGTTTTTTTTTTTTCTGGGCTCTCTCTTCTGTTCTATTGATCTATTTGTCTACTTTTGTGCCACCATACTGTTCTGATTACTATAGCTTTGAATCTAACTTGAAGTCTGGAATTGTGATATCTCCAGTTTTATTTTTCTTTTTCAAGATTGCTTCAGATATTCAAGGTCTTTTTTTGTGGAATCTTTAGGATTTTCTATGTATAGTATCATGTCATCTATAAATATTGAAAAGTTTAGCTTCTTCCTTACTAATTTGGATTCCTTTTATTTCTTTTTGTGGTTTGATTGCTGTGGCTAGGGCTTCCAGTACTATGTTGAATAAAAGTGAGAGTGGACATCTTTGTCTTATTCCTGATCCTGATTCCTGTAAAACTCTCAAGTTTTTCCCCATTGAGTATGATATTTGCTGTGGATTTTTTGTATTATGGAAGCTGGGGTGAAGATCACCTTTGAAGCATTACTTTAATAGTCTTAATTATTTACCCAGCAAAAGCATGTCTCAAGAGAGCTGTGGATAAATTTGTTTAGTTAGTAAAGTTAAGAATTTTGCTTCCTCAGGTTGACATTTCTTTTTTTTTTTTTTTTGACCGACATTTCTTTTATAGCAAGTAAATCCGCACAAGAACCTAATTAATATATTTTTCTCTGTTTTTCTATTTTGGCAGGAACTTGATGTTAAAATAGCAATTAAATCATGTCGCCTAGAACTAAGTACCAAAAACAGAGAACGGTGGTGTCATGAAATCCAGATCATGAAGAAGTAAGTGTATTTGATGACTTATATTTCCCCAGTTCTGCAGCCCAGGCAGATGTCATCATAAGAAAGGAGGGGAGGAATCTGTTCTTCTCAGGATATTTTGGGGAACATGTTTTTTTCTTTCTTATCAAATATATATATGTTCTATTTTAAATAATAACATCACATTATGATTAGGTTTAATTTTAAAAGTCAGTTAAGGGGACATCTGGGTGACTCAGCAGTTGAGCATCTGCCTTTGGCTCAGGGCATGATCCCAGAGTTCTGGGATCAAGTCCCACATGGGGCTCCCTGCGGGAAGCCTGCTTCTCCCTGTACCTATGTCTCTGCCTGTCTCTGTGTGTTTCTTGTGAATCAATAAATAAAATCTTTTTTAAAAAATACAGCTAAGGGGGCACTTGGGTGGCTCAGTCAGTTAAGCAGCTGCCTTCAGCTTAGGTCATGATCTCAGGGTCCTGGGATTGAGCCCTGCATCAAGCTCCCTGCTCAGTGGGGAGTCTCCTTCTCCCTCTGGACCTCCCCCCAACTCATGCTCACTCTTTCTCTCAAATAAATAAACTCTTTTTTTAAAAAAAAAGCCAGCTAGATATTCTCAAACTCAGCTCTCTGTGGACAGAATCTTTTTCTTATGGATATTGGGCAATGTTCATCAACTATACTTTCTTTTTTTTTTTTTTAAAAAAAAGATTTTATTTATTTATTCATGAGACACACACACACACACACACACACACACACACACAACACAAACAGAGGCAGAGGCAGAGACAGAGACAGAGGCAGAGGGAGAAGTAGGCTCCATGCAGGGAGTCTGATGTGGGACTCGATCCCTGGACTCCAGGATCACACCTTGGGCTGAAGGCAGCGCTAAACCGCTGAGCCACCCAGACTGCCCTCCATTATGCTTTCTAGTTAAATATAACCACTATTCTCATTTCTTTACTCCTACCTACTTTTGTTGAATAGTGTATGTGTTGCTTCATACAAAATTACCCCAAAACTTAGTGGCTTAAAACAACTACCATTTAGGGGCACCTGGCTGGCTCATTCAGAACAGCATGTGACTCTTGATCTTGGAGTTGTGAATTCAAGCCCCATGTTGGGTGTAAAGATTACTTAAATAAATTTAAAAACAACAACAACAGACATTTAGTATCTCACAATTTCTGTGGCTTAGGAATTTGGGAGTGACCTAGCTTAGTGATTCTGATGCAGGAGATCTCTCTTGAAATACCCTAAAATGTTGAGTGGAGCTGCAGTCATCCAAAGACTTGAATGGGGCTGGAGTATCCACTTCCAAGCTCATTTATATGGCTGTTGGCTAGAGGTATCAGTTGCTTATCATATGGGCCTCTGTGTAGGGAAGCTTGGATATTTTCATGACGTGGCAGCTAGCTTTCCCCAAAGTGAATGATCTGAGAGAGAGCAAAGTGAAAATAGAGTCATACAACTGCTAGCTAATAGAGTCTGGATTTGAAATAAGTACTTTCTGGCTCTAGGGTCTTTTTTCAATTCACTATTAAAGTACTCAAACTTGGCTATGTGACAGAATCACCAGGAAGCCTTGCTAACTGTATGAATACTCAGGCCCTACACATGGAGAGTCTGTTTCCATATGTCCCTTAGGACTGGGTAATCTATTCCAGTTTTGAGATCCATTGCATTGATGATGATGATGGTGATGGTGATGATGATGATAGTGGCTGGGATGATGTATCATTAAGTTAAAAAAAAGATGTTAGAAAATGTAGTTAGATATAACATTTATTTAAAAATGTGTTTATGGGGATCCCTGGGTGGCGCAGCGGTTTGGCGCCTGCCTTTGGCCCAGGGCGCAATCCTGGAGACCTGGGATCGAATCCCACATCGGGCTCCCGGTGCATGGAGCCTGCTTCTCCCTCTGCCTGTGTCTCTGCCTCTCTCTCTCTCTGTGACTATCATAAATAAATAAAAATAAATAAATAAATAAAAAATAAAAAAAATGTGTTTATGTACAGATTAAAGCTAGAAGGAAATACGTCCAAATTTTAATATATTATCTCTGGGTGACATTGTAAGTGATTGTGGGAGAACCAGTATGATGTAGACTTTGGAGCCACACTGTCAGATTTGAATCCTTACTTGACCACCTCCTTGCTGTGTGATCCTATATTACTTAACCAATTTGTGCTTCAGTTTTCTGAAGTGTGTTGAGACTATTAATGAATTTACCTATAGTAGGATTATTGTGACTAGTAAATGAGTTAAAGTGTAAAGTAGGTACTGCTTGGCACATAGAAACGTAATAGTAATGATAGTGATAGTGTTTTTATCTATATTTATCTATATTTTTATCTATTTTATTTATTTTTAAAGATTTCTTTATTTTAGAGGGAGTGGGCAGAGGCTAGAGAGAGAATCCCAAGCAGATTCCCCACTAAGCCTGATGCGGGACTTGATCCTCTAACCCCAAGATCATAACCTGAGCCAAAACCAAGAAGCAGACGCTTAACTGACCAAGCCACTCAGGTGCCCTTATCTATATTTTATTTTTGAAAATTATTAAGTCTTAATTATAAATGAGAATGAGAAATTACAATATTATAAATAATGCCAGCCGTTCTCCCCACTCTGCCCCCCAATTAACTATCATTTCAAACCCAGTATCTTTTCATTAGAAAAAAATGTTTGATTATGATGTTTTCCCCTTCTTTTAGGTTGAACCACGCCAATGTTGTAAAGGCCTGTGATGTACCTGAGGAATTGAATTTTTTAATTAATGATGTACCTCTTCTAGCAATGGAATACTGTTCTGGAGGAGATCTCCGGAAGGTAGTGTGGATGCCTTGAGATGATAAGATAGTAAATCATGAACCTTAGCAATGCTTGAATCATATTTAATACGATGATCTAGAATAAAATTCAGTAAACTATGGCCTGTAACCTATTCTTACGACTGTTTTTTTACTACAACATCAGAGTTGAGTAATTATGACAGAGACTTGTGCCCTGCAAAGCCTAAAGTATTTACTGTATGGCCCTTTACTGGGAACATTTGCTACCCCTGATTTAGAATATGCATTTTTTGGTAGGTGATAGTGTTTGCAGGATGGGAGTGGATTGATGGTGTTAGACCAAAATATCCATGTCTAAGATGTTGATAAAGAAGTTGTGTTTTTTTTAAAAAATTTTTTTTTTTTTCTAGCACAAATCTTTCTCATGTCATTTTAAATCTGCTGTAGGGCTGTTTTTAAATATGTGAGGTTTTCAACCTTTTTCACTTTCACATACTTTCTCCCCTTTTATCTCTACCTGTGTAAGTCTTGTCATGAAATTAATTTATTCTCAGTATGGTTTTGGTGATTTTTCCCTTCTTGCATTTTCTTAATTGTGACTTATTTCTTATTTGAATATTCTCTTAGTGTATATAGTGATTAATGTGTTGCCACTGCTGCCCAGCAGTATTAGCAGTATACATTTTTAGATTTCTTTTTTTTTTTCTTCAGCTACTCAATAAACCAGAAAATTGCTGTGGACTTAAAGAAAGCCAGATACTTTCTTTACTGAGTGATATAGGTATGTAATCAGTTTGAAAATACCATCATAATTTAGTGCCCCTTTGGTTTATAAAAGGATCTATATACTACTTGGGAATTAAGAATTTTTGATGTACTATACAAAGCATACACTTTTACCATCTATAAGAAATTATCAGAAAAATTTAACTCTTGTTGATGCTAAAACTAGGATATTTTATTTTTTTGTTTTTCGCCAGGAGACCATTTTTTGACTAATAGATGCTCTAAGTGCTAACAAAGAATGGTGTGAAATGACCTTATTCAATTTTGCTCCCCCTTCTTCTCTGCCTAGCATAGTAATTTTATTTACCAGTGACGTTGCATCTTTTGGTTATAGGTTCTCAAGTCAACTTGTAGGATAAAATTCCTTTTTAATAAGAATTAGTCTGGGACACCTGGGTGGCTCAGTAGTTAAATGTCTACCCTTGGCTCAGGTTGTGATCCCAGGGTCCTGGGATCAAGTCCTGCATCGGGCTCCCTATAGGGAGCCTGCTTCTCCCTCTGCTTATGTCTCTGCCTCTCTCCATGTGTCTCTCATGAATAAATAAATAAAATCTTTTAAGAAAAAAAATTACTCCTGAAAAATCCTTAATTAGGCCCTTGGAAGTTCAGAAGCCAAGAATATGTTTCCCTATATATTTTTTCTTTTTTTTTTTTTTTAAAGATTTTATTTATTTTTTCGTGAGAGACACAGAGAGAGAGAAGCAGAGACACAGGCAGAGGGAGAAGCAAGCTCCATGCAGACAGCCTGATGTGGGACTTGATCCCAGGACCCTGAGCTAAATAAAGGCAGACACTGTAACCACTGAGCCACCCAGGCCTTCCTCCGTATATATTTTTATTTTGTTTCTTTTTCTAGGTCATGTAGGTCAAATCTAATTGAAGAGGATGATTTAGGTGGGAGGGAAAACTAGGGGGACTTATGTAATTCTACAGTATTTGTTTAATATTAACTGGATTTTCTGTGGAGAGACTATTAACTGGTATAATACCATTAATCATATAGTTATGATGGTCTGTGCAAATAGGAGCATCAGAGGGGGGCCTGGCTGGCTCAGTTGGAGGAGCATGCAACGCTTGGTTTTGGGGTTGTGAATTCAAGCCCCACATTGGGTTTAGAGATTACTTAAATAAAAAAAGAGTTTGAACATCAGAGAAGATCTGTACAAAATGTGAGATGAATTTATTTTTAATTCAGTGTTTCTGTTACCTCAAAATACATTTTAAACTTTATTTAGGGTCTGGGATCCGATATTTGCATGAAAACAAAATAATACATCGTGATCTAAAACCTGAAAACATAGTTCTCCAGGATGTTGGTGGAAAGGTAGGTAAAACCTGAAGAACTGTTACATGCCAGTTGAATATAGATTCCCTGGTATAATTAGTCTTTGAAATCTGGTGCCTTTACATAGCATTTTATACTTTTTCTTCCCCAGCCTTCATTTCACTGAACTGTGGTTTTGTGTTTAGATGTTTGTCTCCTCTTCTAACACAGTGTTTCCATTAGAGAAGGAACTGTCCCTATCTTGCGCACTTCTGGTTTTGAATACAGTGTCTAGTAGAGATAAAAGACAATGAATAAAAATAATTTGTTAATCCCTTACAAAGCACATCCAACACACACACACACACACACACATCCTGGATTTGGTTAAGTATATTTACTTAACTATGTTTCTTATTTAAGAAAGAACAACTTCATTCTCTTCCCTCAAATTCTAAGTGCTATATATAAGTAAAATTCAAAACCTTGATTTCTCAGATTCTTAAATGAGTCATCTTGAGAAGAACCAGAAATTATGCATTGACTCCTGGAATACTTGTATTTATCAGAATAATTTGAGCAGTTTTCTTGTGACTAGCACCCAAGTTCCATTCCAATAAAGATGTAAAGCCAAGAGTCCAAACCTTGAATTGGATTGTGTGGTCTTTAGTTAGTGATGATGGTGGTCAGTTGAGGTGATGAAACTGATGGTGCTTCTTAAGAGCCTTTCATGTATGCTTGGCACCAACTATTTCTGCTTCGTTTGTATCCAAAGTCTTCAGGATATTCCTGAAGTTAGGTAGGTCTTTACTCACTTAGTGGTATCTTTTTCATCTTTGGAAGTCATCCTTACCTTTCCCTTTTGGTTTAATGGATCAGTCTTATTCTGCATATGCCAAAATAAAAATTAATAGTCTATACTTAATTTTTTTAACATTTTTTACCATGCATGAAAGGAACTGTGTTATTCTTTTCTTTCATTATTTCATTGAATCCTAATAATAATTTTGTGAAGTAAATATCATTAGTAATATCATTATGTAGGAAACTGAGAGAAGTTAAGTAACTTGATCAAGATCATATAAGTGGTGCACCTCAGGCTTGAAATATGTTTGTGAAATTCCAGAGCTCAAGCTCTTCCCCACCACCCTCTCCAGAGCCTTATAAGGATATTGTTGCCTTTCCTTTTCAAATTTCTCATTTAATACTTATTATTTTGCAGATTATGCATAAAATAATTGATCTAGGATATGCCAAAGATGTTGATCAAGGAAGTCTGTGTACATCTTTTGTGGGAACACTGCAGTATCTGGTGAGACATTAATTGTTTCTTTGAATTCACGTTCTTACTTCTGAAGGTCATGAATATAGTAGTCCAAAAATAAAGTAGCTCTTCTCTTTTAGTGTTGATGTTTGAAGCATTTTTTTTTCTTTTTAAGGCCCCAGAGCTCTTTGAGAATAAGCCTTATACAGCCACTGTTGATTATTGGAGCTTTGGGACCATGGTGTTTGAATGTATTGCTGGATATAGGCCTTTTTTGCATCATCTGCAGCCATTTACTTGGTAAGAAATGGCAGAGAACTTTGGTGTGCTTAATGGTAATGTAAATTTTCAGTTACCTGCTTTTTTTTTCTTCCCCCTTCGTATGTGTAATTGCCTTTTAAACGCATAGTTGAATAAAATTAAATGGCAAAAAAAATCTTAAGAGTATGAGAGTGAGTTGTCAACTGAGGTAACTTGTTTTATAGGCATGAGAAGATTAAGAAGAAGGATCCAAAGTGTATATTTGCATGTGAAGAAATGACAGGAGAAGTTCGGTTTAGTAGCCATTTACCTCAACCAAATAGCCTTTGTAGGTAAGTATATTTTAGTTGAGAAAGTTCACCTCAGTTTCTTTAGGATTATAAAAGAACAGTGGAATTGTCTGTTTCAAGTAGTATTGTGCAGTAAAACTTCCTGTGATGATGAAAAGTTTTATGTCTGTGATGGCCACATTGAGCACTTGAAAAATTGTAGTATAAGAGAGGAACTCAATTTTAACTTTTATTTAATTTTAATTAATTTTAATTTAATAAATGCAAATAGCTGCTTGTGACTGAGGGCTATATTGGACAGCACAGGTCTAGTGGAAACAAGAAGAACTCCTGCTACAAGAAGATTCCTGGGATACTGAAGTAAATGATAAATGAGTTCCTTGGACAATAGAACTGGACTCACCTATTGAAGTTGCCAGTACTTACATATGTAGGTTTTGGGTTGTTTTTTATGGAAAAAAGTTTGTCCCCTGTCATTTCATGAATTACTTGAAAGTAAGATACAAAATGATACAGATGAGTAATGAGAAAGGACATGGACAACCTATGAAATTACCCTTTTCACAATAATGAAAGAAAACTAGAATATAGTGATTTTCACTCTATTTTTGTATGCTTTCTAGTTTAATAGTAGAACCCATGGAAAACTGGCTTCAGTTGATGCTAAATTGGGATCCTCAGCAAAGAGGAGGACCTGTTGATCTTACTTTGAAGCAACCAAGATGTTTTGTATTAATGGATCACATTCTCAATTTGAAGGTTAGTTTGAATGTGGTCTGCTTCATAAAATTTGCATTGAAGTTAACAAATTTATTTGGAAAATAAACATAAACATATTTTAATGATCTTTTCTGATGCTTATTTGAAAAGAAAATTATATTTTTAGAGCTGATATGTTTTTACTTCTTTAGTAAGTCTTCTCAGTTTTACTTTTAAGTGGTCTTTGTTGATTGCTTTTATGAAACATCTTTTAGATTTTCCCCTTCTTTGTATTGGTGCCATTAGACCTCGTTCATTTAAGGTATAATCATACTGGATTTGGTTTGCTGAGGAAGTTTCCTGCCTGGCTTTCATGCCTCTATACTTTGTCCCAATCCTACAGTCCATGCAGCATGAACTACCCATCTCATCTTCTGAAAATGCTTTTTTATTCTTCTGTCCAAAAAACCAACATAGTTCTTCTTGCCTCCCAAGTCAAATCTAAACTGATCTGCCTACCTTTTGGAGCTTTTCTCATGCAGATCCACCCCAACCAAGTACTTGCCCCAGACCTGCTTCTCTTACCTCTTACTTCTCTAGGACCAACTTGTCACTGCTCCTCACACCATCAAGCACATTATCCATTTTTGTGCTTTGACGCTGCTGTCCTTCTGCCCAGAATGATCTCTGTATTTGTGTATCTCCTCAACTACACTGGCACATATTCAACTCTCCTTTTCTCTGAACAATTTCTGCGACATAGTTTGTCATTTAATCATATTTACTATATCTTCTAAATGTTTCTCATCTTCCACTCATGCCTCTCCATATAGGTTGTCTTCTTTAATATTGGGATTGTTCTTGGGGATCCCTGGGTGGCTCAGCGGTTTAGTGCCTCCCTTTGGCCCAGGGCGTGATTCTGGAGTCCAGGGATCGAGTCCCGCATCGGGTGCCCTGCATGGAGCCTACTTCTCTCTCCGCCTGTGTCTCTGCATCTCTGCGTCTCTCTCTCTCTCTCTCTCTCTGTGTGTCTCTCATGAATAAATAAATAAAATGTTAAAAAATATATTGGGATTGTTCTTACTACTTTTATTAACAATTGTTCACCCTCACCCTACCATCATGCTATCCCTACCCCACTGTTCTGCTGTACAAAGCAGGCCATGTATCAGGTTCTCAGTAAATATTCACTGGTATGAATGAGAGGCTCTATTATGCTGTATACCCAGAAACAACTCTCATCTGCAATCTTTTCATAATTATTGATTGGTTAGAGTAGATAGGGTTCCTAAAATTGGAAGAATCTGTGGTGCAGGCTCAGTGGTGAGCATCCAAGGCCATCCTGGAGGCAGGAGGAGGCTAGTTGAGGGTGGGGCTAAATTTTATTTTCTGAAAAAAAAATTGAAATGAGAAATTATAACCATGTAAGGTTTTACTGTAACCTTGGTATACTTTAGTAAATAGGAACTTGGGGCCATGTTGATGTTATTCTTCGCTAACTCAGAAAAGTTATCTGGCTTCTTGATTTGGGTTTCTTCTATTGTGCCAAGGAATAAATCATTCCTTAGTGTATAAGCCCAGCGGATTTGGTGATCCATTTTAGGTCTTTGTGTCCCCTGAAAATTTTTGTCTTTTATTCCAGGTTTTTTTCAGACTTGTCATGGTGATCTTAACATCATTTCCACTTTGTGGGGTTTGTGGAGATGTGCTTGTTAGAGAGCATAGAGAAAGAGCCCTCCTTATATGTTTTGCGGTCTGTAGACTTCAGTTTGCAGAACCACTCTTTACCTGTCTGTGAATCTGGGGCAAATATATATTTATCTATTTTTAGCTCAGGTACGGTAGGTAATATCTTCTTTAAAGGCTCAATATTGTTGTGAGGCTGTGCAGGATAAGGAATGTATAGGGTACTATTCATAGTAACTTGGGGATGCTTCTGAGAAATGATAATAGAGCTAAATTTTGAAAGATAAGTAAGACTTAATCGGGAATAGGCAAGGAGAGAGACTTACAAATGGGAATATCATGAACACAAACATGAACTGTAAAACAATTTGTATTATAGGACATTTTCTAAGGTGTTTATTATGTTGTTCAAAAAGGGAATGGTGTCTGATTTTCATTTAAAAAAGAAATTTTAAAAAGTTACTAAAATACCTCTTTCTTTTTAAAAAATTTAGAGTCTGATTACATGATTTTCCAACTGTGTATTATGAAAAACTTTAAATATATAGGAAAGTTGAAAAATGTATACTGAACTTGCCACTGAAGATAATGGTGAAATAGAAGTATTTAATTATTCTTTCTTTGCCTGATCTTTCATGTTCCTAAGTATAACTATACCCTAAGTGGCTCTCCTTGGTTTTCTCTTTTTCCATATTACTTTTTCTTCCTTTCCTTTGTAATCTCTTCAGTTGTAGAATTTTACCTATAAGCTGAATATAGATAACTTCCAAATTTATTTCCTCAGTTGTGACTTTTCTGCAGAGTTCTTGTAGCTACTGTATAACTATACTCGGGGGTTTCACTGGCACCCAAGACTTAATTTAAAAACCGAACACATTTGCTCTATTAAATCTCTCCTACAGCATTTCCTCTGCCTCTTGCACTGTCATCTTTCCAGTTATCTAGGTGGGATGGCTTGTCTGACTATTCCTTCTTTTTCAATTTTGTATCCAATTATTTTCTTAGGTTTATCTTTTGAATGTTTCAACCATTCTGAGCTTCTCAGGTTCTCAATTTAGAAGGCCTTACATAGTTCCTCTTTGCATATTGAATAAAGTTCAAACCCTTACATTTAGTATTCAGTATCTCTCTTGGTCTCCTTTCATCCTATACTTGCAGCCTTATCTTTTATTATACTCTAAGGGGGCATCATTCTAGGTACATTTGAACCAGATTATTTATATTCCTTTTTTTTTTAAAAGATTTATTTATTTGAGAGAGAGAGCAGGGGGAAGGGCAGAGAGAGAGAGAATCTCCAGCAGACTGCCTGCTGAGGGTGGAGCCCAATGCAGGGCTCAATCTCATGACCCTGAGATCATGACCTGAGCAGAAATCAAGACTCAGGTGCTCAACTGACTGAGCCACTCAGGTACCCCTGGATTATTTATATTCTTTGGTTATGCTCATCCTTTTCTACCTCTGTGCCTCTGCCTACTTTATTTTCTACCTAGAAGAACCTTTCTTCTTTCAGTTTTTCCTTATTCTAATCTTCCTTCCTTTCCAAAGTTCAGCTCATAGTGCCTCTTCTATAAAGCGTCCCTTTTCCTTCCACCATGTAAACTCCTTTGGAAACTGCATGATAGGGACGCCTGGGTGGCTCAGTGGTTGGGCGCCTGCCTTTGGTTCAGGTCGTGATCCCCAGATCCGGGATCAAGTCCGCATTGGGCTCCCTGCGAGGAGCCTGCTTCTCCCTCTGCCTGTCTCTGCCTCTCCTCTCAATCTGTATCTCTCATGAATAAATAAATCTTTTTTTTAAAAAAAAAAAGGAAACTGCATGATACTTTTCATTATAATAGTACATTTAGCATTTTGCCTTGTATTTAGTTCCCTTAATGTTTCTTAGTATCTTCTATTTGGCCATTATCCTGTGGAGGGCAAGGATCATAAGTTATTTAATTTGTATACTCACCACCACCATAACACATTGAATATTTACCATAGTAGTCACTCATTAAATAATTGAGTGAACAAAAGGATAAATGTAAGTTGTATTTCCTCTCTATTTCTTTGGCTCTCTTATGGCTCAGCTTTGGTTGTGGGATTCCATGATTACTTACCTAGTTTGACATAAACCCTGTGTAAAAGTGTATATCCACCTTAGGATATTGATCCTCAGTTTCTGCTATCACTAGTAGGGGCAGCTGTCATAGTATAAAATATGTCTAGGATGGGAAGAAATGGACGGTCTCAGTTGAAATACTGGTATTATAAATCCATGACAACTTTGATAATTCCCTTCTCTTCCTCTCACCTTTTTCAAGCATAAAGGTTAATACAGAAGGAAAGTTAATGCTTTACCTCTGTAATAAGCATTTCTAGCAGAAATAATTTTAATCTAACAATATATATTTAATTATTGTTTAATTGAATTTAAAGAAAAATGTAATTTTAATCATTTGCATATGCTAGTTAATATAATGTACTGGAGAAACATAGGTATTAACTTTATATGGTTTATCTAAGGACAGTAGAAGGAAGAGGATTTAAAATCATATTGTCTTCAAGAGACTTCTTAGGACTCTGGTTTCTCTCTTTGCCAAAATGGAGATTAGATCTAATTAACAGTATGTTATGTGAAAGCACTTTGTAGTTAGCATCTATTAGGGACTTCATAAGTGGGAATATTTCCTTCCAGGCCTATGATAAGTTTTTGAGAGTAAATAAGTGTTGCCTTTTAATTTTTATTATAATTTTTATTTATTTTCTATTTTTAAAAATTAGTTAATTTTTTTAGAGAGGGAGAGGGAGAGAGAATCCCAGGCAGGCTCTATGCCCAGGCTCTTACAGCCTTGAGCTGGTGAACTGAGCTGAAGTCAAGAGTTGGATGCTTAACTGACTGAGCCACCCAGGTGCCCTTAAGTGTTGCATTTTTGTTTATTTTTTATTTTTTTTAAATATTTTATCTTATTTATGAGAGACACAGAGAGAGAGAGAGGCAGAGACACAGGCAGAGGGAGAAGCAGGCTCCATGCAGGGAGCCCCACGTGGGACTCGATCTCGGGACTCCAGGATCACGCCCTGGGCTGAAGGCAGCGCTAAACCTCTGAGCCACCTGGGCTGCTCAGTGTTGCGTTTTTAAATTGGGATTTTTTTTTTTTAATTTTTATTTATTTATGATAGTCACAGAGAGAGAGAGAGAGGCAGAGACACAGGCAGAGGGAGAAGCAGGCTCCATGCACCGGGAGCCCGACGCGGGACTCGATCCCGGGTCTCCAGGATCGCGCCCTGGGCCAAAGGCAGGCGCCAAACCGCTGCGCCACCGAGGGATCCCCTAAATTGGGATTTTTATTTCTAGATTTTGTACATCCCTGTAATTTTGAAATTTTATTCTTTGGAGCTAACATCTTTTGTAGAAAAGTAAACTCTACTGTTCAGTTTTCAAAATGTTATTTTGTAATTATGGAAGGAGATCTCACTTTGAAAAATGATTGAACCTTGTGTAGAGATATTCCCTTTAGTATCTAGCACTGAATCTTTTATGTGGTAAATGAGCAATAATCATTTCTTTTTTCTTATTTATACAGATAGTACACATCCTAAATATGACTTCTGCAAAGATAATTTCTTTTTTGTTACCACCTGATGAAAGTCTTCATTCACTACAGTCTCGTATTGAGCGTGAAACTGGAATAAATACCGGTTCTCAAGAGCTTCTTTCAGAGACAGGAATTTCTCTGGATCCTCGGAAACCGGCCTCTCAATGTGTTCTAGATGGAGTAGTAAGAGAATTCTAATATTAAGAACTCTGTTAGCTTGGAGGATTGCATGCTGTGCATTTTTTTTTTTTTTTTGGATGCATAGTTGGAATCCCCTTGGTGGGGGGTGGTTCACATCTTACAATTCTTATTTTAATTTTATCCTACTCATTATTTTTATCATTGCTTCACAAGGTGAACAAGATATGTTTTAAACTTTGTATGACTTTCTCTTTGGTGACAGTCCCCCCCGCCCCTTTTTCCCACTTTTATACTTAAAGCCTAAAACCTTGAAATTAGACCAGCAGTCTCATAGATCCTGCAAGAGGATAGATGGATGGTAAAATATTGTGCTCATGACTCTTGTTGTTGTTGTTGTTTTACTTTATTGAGGCAAATTTTATATATCATGTAATTTACCCATTTCGTGTATGCAACTCAGTGATTTTTTTTTTTTGGCTTATACTATAAACCAGTCATTACTATAAGCCAGCTTAAAGAAATTTCGATGTCAATAAGATCCTTCATGTCTGCTAACTCTTAATCTCCATTCTGTTCCATTCCAGGGAATCACTGTTTTGCTTTCAGTCTCTATAATTTGCCTTTTCTAAACACTTCATATAAATGAATCATACAGTCTATAGTCTCTTGTGTCTGACTTCTTTCACTTAGCATCATGTTTTGGAGGTTCATTCATGTCCTAGCATGTATCAGAATTTTATTCCTTCTGATTACTGAATAGTATTCCCATTGTATGGATATATGTTGCTGTGACTTTGTGCTTTTGTCCTTTTGGGGTCTGGTGATTGTTTTTCACATTAAGCCATCCTATAGTTATTTATTTCTCCTAAATAGTAATCTAGACCTTGAATCTGTAAGATGTATGTGAATAAACATTGGCCTTATTCATTTACATTTCACATTAGGAAATGTGTTCAAGTACTTAGAGAACCTAGTATTTTCAAGGATTTTTAAAAATTGTTTCTTTTTCAGAGAGGCTGTGATAGCTATATGGTGTATTTGTTTGATAAAAGTAAGACTGTATATGAAGGACCATTTGCTTCCAGAAGTTTATCTGACTGTGTAAATTATATTGGTAAGTAAAGCTCATTTACTGACTGAGGTTTAAAACTGAAATAATATAATTTTGACTCAATATGTTTAGTAGAAATGGTCTTTTGGTGTTTTTGTTCTGTATCTCATACTTCTGTTTTTTAATTATGATGAGAAATGAATTTATACAGATTGGAAGGTGAAATAGTAGATTTCAAGTCATCTCTAGATCCCTCATTTGGAAGAAGACTTACTTTCTGCAGGATAAGGCTCTCACAGAAGAATGAATCTCCACTATTAGTTAAGCCTGCTTTCTAGTTGCTTTATGTAAGCGTGTTCAGATACTTCATTTTATATGAATACTGCTTAACGTTCAAATGTTTTCATTTATCCTTGAGAATTACTCTTTTCTTTGGAAGAAGTGATTAGTTTCTGTATACCCAAAACTAAAAATCAAGCATAATATTGTAAAATCAAGAACAAAACTGGGCAAAGGGCTAAAATCATGTAATCTTTCCTTTTTGTTAGTTTTTTTAAACAACAGTTTTAAATTTACAGAAAAATTGGGACACCTGGGTGGCTCAGCGGTTAAGGTTCTATTTGCCTTTGACTTAGGGCATGATTCTGGAGTTCCGGGGTCGAGTCCCACATCGGGCTTCCTGCATGGAACCTGCTTCTCCCTCTGCCTATGTCTCTGCCTGTCTCTTCTGTGTCTCTCATGAATAAATAAATAAAATCTTTAAAATAAATAAATGAATAAGTAAATAAATAAAAAGTAACTTCCCACCTCTTTTCCCATCTTTTTACATATAGTACGGGACAGCAAAATTCAGCTTCCAATTATACAGCTGCGTAAAGTATGGGCTGAAGCAGTGCACTATGTGTCTGGGCTGAAAGAAGACTACAGCAGGCTCTTTCAGGGACAAAGAGCAGCAATGTAAGTGGATTCTATTGTTTACAGGTGCAATGTCATGTGCATTAATGTTCAAGAATTAATCTTGCTGTTTTCACTAATCAGTATTCCACGCAATACTGAAATATTGGACTAATCTGAAATATAATATTCTCACCAGACTTAAAGAATTCTTACTAATGGTCTGAAACCATCCAATTGCAACAGCTTGAGAGTAGTTCCTGAGCAGTCCTAGTATAAGAAGATTGTTTTATCTTAGAATATCACAGGTAGGGAGTCTTCAGAGACTAGATTCTAGTCTAAACTATTTCTCACAGATTGATAATAGAAGCTTAGGCTTTGGGTTTATGGCAGTTTAAGCTATTAAATTTTTGTTCACTGTTTCTGAAATACTAATTTTTTTTTTTTTTTGCTATGGTTTAGGTTAAGTCTTCTTAGATATAACGCTAACCTGACAAAAATGAAGAACACTTTGATCTCAGCATCTCAGCAACTGAAAGCTAAATTGGAGTTTTTCCACAAAAGCATTCAGCTTGACTTGGAAAGATACAGTGAGCAGATGACTTATGGGATATGTGAGTGTTTGGGTAACATGTTTGAAAGAAGTGTTGAATCTCTTGAAGCCATCTTCTGTTTTGCCTTCTTGCCTCAGCCCATTGTTTCATTTATATTAACATTAGAGTAAGAGATAGGTTGCCTCAAGTCCTCATAAACAGTGTTTGTACTGAATAGTAGCTGCTTTTAACCTTTAGATTAGCAACTTTACTTCCCCACAATTGAACTATAGTTGGACTAGGATGGTTTAGCTTCAGAAAAATTCAAAAGCAATTTAAGAACTTTTGATTTTCAAGTCTCATTTTTGAAATAGAGGCGCCTGGGTAGCACAGTTTTGTTTGACTCGTGGTTTTAGCTCAGGTCATAATCAGGGTCCTGAGATCAAGCCCCACATGGGGCTCTGTGCTCAGCATAGAGTCTGCTTAAGACTCTCTCCCTCTCTCTCTCATACCTCCCCTCTGTACACAGTGTCTCTCACTCTCTCTCAAATAAGTAAATCAATCTTTTAAAAAATAGATACAAAGTCTGTATTGGGATGTCTCCTTAACCAGGGAAGTCTTAAACTACTTATCTTACTGTAAATAATAATACAAATAATTCCAGAGTTTTTTCTTCCAAACCACCTACTGTAGAGTCCCCCACCCCTTTTTTTTAGTATGGTACACAGCCTCCAGTTTTCAATATTTGACTCTAAGCTCTCTCCTTTCAGATGTATTAAGGAAATGTAAGATGCAGATTTAAAATTCAAATAATAAGCTGAAGGGGTCACCACCAATATTTCTGTTGTCTGTCATAAAACAAATTCTTTTTTGGGAAACAAATCCTATTCGTATACTTGTCTTAAGCAAAGTGTATGTATATCAGAATAAATGATCAGCAGTATCCAATTGCGTGAGTAAGTTTACCCATTAGGACTGGTTCAATGATTGATGTTTGATTTCTATTTTTGTATAATAAGCATTCTAATGAATGGCAGAACACTGTAATTATTTCACCAAATTATCTTTGACTAATCAGCTGTTAAAAAGGAATGACATAGGGATCCCTGGGTGGCGCAGCGGTTTGGCGCCTGCCTTTGGCCCAGGGCGCGATCCTGGAGACCCAGGATCGAATCCCACATCGGGCTCCCGGTGCATGGAGCCTGCTTCTCCCTCTGCCTATGTCTCTGCGCCTCTCTCTCTCTCTCTCTCTCTCTGTGACTATCATAAATAAATAAAAAAAAATTAAAAAAAAAAAAGGAATGACATAGACCTGTGTACTCATACTAAAAGATCACTTGGGTCTTTAATGGCAGTGATGTATTAAGTTGGGGAAAAAAAACAGAGAGAAAAGTATATAGAGATAGTCTCACTTATGAGGGAAAAGGGTATGTGTCTATGTAACAAGTGATTAACAGTAAGATCCTTAGAGTGGAGGGGACAAAGAGAGAGTCTTTTCTTTTTATATCCTTTTATAGTATTTGATTTTCAAAAAATCATGTTCATGTATTACTTTTCCTTTTTTTTTTCATTTTTTAAGAGAAAACAATTTATATTGGTTTCTTAGGGGTCCTATAGCAAGTTACTTATAAACTAGGTGGCTTAAAGCCACAGAAATTTAAATAAATAAATAAATAAATAAATAAATAAATAAATAAATAAATCCATAGAACTGTGTCACAGTTCCAAAGGCTGAAAATCCAAATCAAGGTGTTGGCAGGGTCCATGAACCCCCTAAAGCTGTGGGGAAGAATACTTCCTAGCTTCTTCCTAGCTTCTCGTGGTTTGCCAACAGTCCTTGGCTCCTTGGCTTGCAGCTGTAGCACTTTAATCTATACCTCTGTCGTCAAAATAGAGCTCTCTCTTCATGTGTTTGGGTTTCTCATAAGAAAACTAGTCATACTGGATTAATCCACCCTACTCCAGGATGATCTCATCTTAATTAGCTAACTGCAATTTGGCAGTGACCCTATTTCCAAATAAGGTCACATTCTGAGGTACTGAATTAGGACTTCAACAAAGCTTTTTGGGGGGACAGTTCAATCTATAACACCATTTTTGATGATGATATGGCAAGGAAGTGGATAGGTCAGTAATTAAGGCTATGGCTATTTCTGAGATAACCAATTAAGACTTTTTTTTTTTTAGCCTCAGAAAAAATGTTAAAAGCATGGAAGGAAATGGAAGAAAAGGCTATCCACTATGCCGAGGTAAAATCATTAGCTCATTCTATATGCTTATTAATTCCTGAGGTCTCTCATAGAAGTTGTCTTTGGTTTCAATATATAGAATGTTTTTCATGTTACTCCTGATTATCAGACAAAAATCTAGTAGATGCTTTGTATGTGTAGAGTTGATAAAAGCAGGGGCTTTGGGCAAAAGAGATTAAACTAAAACCTTGCTAAACTTATTTCCATATTACGTGGACTTACACTTTTTAGTAGGGTTATACAGATTAAATGGGAATAAATAATAAATGGTAGTTATTGCTGTTATTTTTATGATTGGTTTAGATAGGATAGCTGTATGTCCTGGTTATCCGAAATGGTCCCAGTTTATATCTGCCTTGCCATAATTATCAATGATACTCCCTTTCACTCTCAAAATTATGCCTGTTTGGACAATAAATTATACATATGGTCATGCTAGTTATAGGTCATTCTCTAGGAGGAATATTCCTTTCTTACCTGTTACATCTGTCCATGGTCCTACTAAATTGTTACTCTCCTGGATGTGCGTAAGGCAGTTAATATCCTTAAGTAGGAAATCCAGTGTCTTTTTCTTTCTGCATTCTTATTCAAGACAGTTGGGAACAAGAGGCAATGAAAATCCTATAACTGAGATGCAGTGGTTTTGGTGGCCACTTTTCCTGTCTTGTTAATAATACTACTTTTTGCTTCTCAGGAGGAGAAAGCAAATGCTAGTAGTTCACTGTTGTCAGAAGAGAAAAGAGAGAAGCATGGGTATTAAGTCTGTCCTTGTATGAAAGACTGTCAGAATCTGAAAGATAAAAAAGCTTGAACAAAATCAGTGTTTCATATTAAATCATTTAGTTCTACCATTGCAGCAAATCGTTCTCTGTCTCAGTTCTTTTCTGTTTTGTGTGGTGGTGAGCCTGTTATTTCTTTTGCATTTCATCATATTTTAGGTGGGTGTCATTGGTTACCTGGAGGATCAGATCATGTCTCTGCACACTGAAATCATGGAGCTGCAGAAGAGCCCTTATGGAAGACGTCAGGGAGACTTGATGGAATCTCTGTAAGGAAGTCTTGTGTTATTGGTATTGATGTCTGTAATTTTTTTGTCACAGATGGTTCTGTCTGTGTACATCTAGCTGATTAAGGCTGTATTTGTTCTTTTCTATAGTTTTCTTTCTCCAAATATATTGACATCATATTTTAGGAGGAAGTTTTTCTTAGTCACAAGAAATTTTGGTCATGACTTAACGGTTGACCTTTGCTGTTTTAATCAAAACATCTTTTCATGTGGGTGTAACAAATTATTCAAATGTTCTAAGTTACAGACTGTTGCCCTGCTTCCCATACTTCTGGCCCAACTTATTGTCCATTAAATGCCCTAAATGAGGTTAACTTCCTAGGTATCTGAATAGAAATTTCAGATTGTTTTTCCCTAATCACGGGGCTTCATTTTTGCCCGTTTAAGTGTTTCTGATGCAAGAATGTTGTATATGTGGTGGTAGATCAGAGCAGATATGAAATATATTAAAGTTTGCATTTTTATTTACTTTAAAAATTTTTTTAAATAGTTTTTATTTTTAAGTAATCTCTATACCCATTTTGGGGTTTGAACTCACAACCCCGAGATCAAGAGTTGCATGCTTTACTGACTAAGCCAGCCAGGTGCCCCTAAATTTTGCATTTTTAGATCTTGCTTATTACTCTGTAATATGCTCTGTAAAATGTTCATTGGCAATATGTACTTGCTTTAAAATAGATTATACTCTATTCAAACAGTATTGTTCATTTCAAGTTGTTGATTATTAGTCATTGAATTATCTTCACATTTGGAAGCATGTTTTCTTTTTCATAGGGAACAACGTGCTATTGATCTATATAAGCAGTTAAAGCACAGACCTTCAGGTAAGACACTTATCACTGTACACAAGGCATTTTAAGAAACCATCACAGGGACACCTGGGTGGCTCAACGGTTGCGTCTGCCTTCGGCTCTGGGTGTGATCCTGGATCCGGGGATTGAGTCCCGTGTCAGGCTCCGTGCAGGGAGCCTGCTTCTCCCTCCGCCTATGTTTCTGCCTTTCTCTCTGTGTCTCTCTTGAATAAATAAATAAAATCTTAAATTAAAAAAAAAAAAGGAAACCATCACAAACTTAACGAATACAGGGTTTGGATTTTTTAAAACAAGCTGCAGAATAAATTCCAGTTTTGGTATTGCCACAGTGCTGTTTATGGTACAATTTTAAGTTGATGAGAATTTAAGAGATTAGGAAGGCAAAGTAACAAGAGAATTGAGATAGAAAACTTTTTAAAGCGAAATGAAAGGAAGGAATGAATGAGAAAAAAGGAACTCATAGAAGGGGAAGAGGAAGCAAGAATATGTGTGGAAAGATGGAAAAAATAAGTGCTGCTTAAGGTTAGAGAGGTTGGACAGAATTTGATATAGTGCTTTCATGTGTGGAGTGATGGGGGGAGGCCCATTTGCTATGCCAAAGCAGTGTACCTTAAAAATGATGCCTTCATCTGCATCTGGTTACTACTTATTTCATTGGCAAAACAATTCCTATCAAACATCTGATGAATACAGAACATGGTCTATTGACAGGAGTATTGGAGTGGTATTTGGAAGGCTTGGGTTCTAGATTGGGCAGCTTACTGACCAAGTACCTAATTTTCTTATATCTCATTTTCCTCTTCTGCAAAATGGGGCTGAAACCTAGCTTTCCTAAGTCAGTGAGTACGTATAACAATGTATTTAAGAGGCTGTTTGTGAAAATGCCTCAGGAAGTATAAAATATATGTATCTGCAAGATATTATCCTTCTGTTAAAAATTGATTTGTTTTGATGGGTTATAGAAGAAATAAAAAGTGAAGCCTGTGCCCTAATTTGCTATATATACCTAAATTACCAATAAATAAGTAAAATAAAAGATATAAGTTTTATACTTTAAAATTTACAAACAGGGCATCTGGGTAGCTTAGTGGTTGAGCATCTGCCTTTGGCTCAGGCTGTGATGCTGGGGTGCTGGGATCAAGGCCCTCATCAGGCTCCTTGCATTCCCTCTGCCTATGTCTCTGCCTTTCTCTGTGTCTCTCATGAATAAATGAAATCTTTAGAAAAAAATTTACAACATATGCAAATTAATATTCATCCATATGAAATTCTGTCTTAACAAATAACATGATCTCCTCTAAATTGATTTTTATTGGAATAGAATTTATTCAGTTTATTCCTACAGACATTTATGAGGTACATATAAGATAGGCACCTGACCCTGCCTGGGGCTTAGGAGTGGTTAGAAAAGGTTTCCTGCAGGAGATGACACCTGAGATAAGCCTTAAAGGATAAGTAGCAGTAGCCAGGTGAAAGGAGGTACGCTCTTGTGTGTACAAGTATAGTCAGTAAAGACACGTAACACTTAGCACGTTTGGGGAAATGTAATGGCTGGATTATAGAGTTTTGGGAGAGAGGCTGGATCAGATGTGGCTGGATCATGAAGGATCTGAAATGTTATGGTAATGAGTTTGGATTTCATCATGATGGCAAAGAAAAACCTTAAAAGTTTTAAGCAGGGGAATTGCATGATCAGATTAGCATTTCAGAAATACTGCATTGGTAGCATTGCACATAATGGATTAAAGTGTAGCTAGACTGAAGACAGGCATTGGCTATGAGGCTGTTGAAATAATCATAACTCCATATAGGGTGGGCCATGAGCTACGGCAGAGAGCCTGAACTGGGGAGGCTGGTGAGAGGAGGGTAAGGGCAAGAGACATTTACAAGGTAGAACTGATAGTGTTGGGTGATGGATTAAATATAGATGGCTGGACCTGGAGTATGGAGTCATGATGCCTCTCAAGATTTTGGCTATGCCAGCTGGGTGCATGGTCAGAAGGACTACTCACCGTAATGGGAAGAAAGGATGGCACATGATGGGAAAAGAAGATGAATTAATTTCTGTACATGTTGATGTTTGGATGTCAGTGGGATATTCAAGTAGAGAGGTCTAATAAATGGTATTTATATATATGTATGCATGCATGTATGTATAAACACATATATATATATATGTGGATTTAGTAGAGAAGTTGATATTTAGCTATTTGAGAGTAGTCAGCCGTAGGAGTAAAGTGATCATTTTGAAAAAGTAGATTGAGTATGGAAGCCAAGGATGGAATCCCAGAGAATACCAACATTCAAGAAAGGCTAGAAGCAGAAGAGCCAGCAGAGGAGATTGAAAATGACCAGGATAGGGCAGCCCCGGTGGCTCAGCGGTTAAGCGCCACCTTCAGCCCGGGGCGTGATCCAGGATCGAGTCCCATGTCAGGCTCCCTGCATGGAGCCTGCTTCTCCCTCTGCCTCTGTTTCTGCTTCTCTCTCTGTGTGTCTCTCATGAATAAATAAATAAAATCTTAAAAAAAAAAAAAAAGAAAATGACCAGGATATAGAAGGAATTATATGATAGGATCAGGACAGAGAGTTTCAAGAAGAAAGTGATCAGTGGGGTGAAATGCTATGAATGTGTGGGTAATAAAGATGATGATAAAAAGAATCAACTTAGCAGTTTGGATACCATTGTTGGTCTTGACAAAATAAGGCCTTTTGGGAACAGAAATTGGAAGCCAAGGAAGGAATGAACCAGGAAGAAATAGAGAAGTCGGTCTAGACCAGCAGTTCCCGAAGTGTGATTCATGAAGATCAGTGAGGTCAAACTATTTTCATAACACTAAGACAATATTTGCCTTTCTCACTATGTTGACATTTTCACTGATGCTATGAAAACACTGGTGGGTAAACAGCTTATACCCTACTTAGCAGGTATGGATGATGGCACTAGTACCAAATTATGTAAGTAGCTATTTTCACCACTATGCATTCACAGTTAAAAAAATTTCATTTAAGCATGTCCTTGATAAAGTAATAAGAATTCTATTTAAATCTCAACCCTTGGGTACATGTCTTTACAATATTCTGTGCAATGAAACGGGAAGTGCCCCAAGAGCACTTCTGCTGGGTTTTTTGTTGTTGTTGTTTTTGTTTTTGTTTTTTTGAGAAAGCCACAGTGGCAGGTGTCTTCTCAAAAGTTAATGAAACATGACTATTGCTTTCAGGGAAAAAAACCAACAATGTTAGTTGGCAATGATAAAACTCCATATTTCAGACAAAAAATTAGAATTTAGGAAATCTTGTATCCATGACCTGAAAATTGTCAGCTTCTCAGTACTTAAACTTTTTTAACAAGATCAGTAGTTATATTAAAAAGACTTGCAAAAATGTAAGATAAGGCCAATTTTCTCACTAACATTTTTTGGAAAATAGTTATTTTTAATAAAAATATGTTAATAGGTAATGAGTTTATTGTTATTTTTAAGTGAATAAGTAAATATTTTTAAACTTCTCAGTTTAATTCCCGAAAAACACCTTGGGGTTCTTAAGAATTTTTGAAGGTACTGAGACCAGTAAGTTTGAGAACTGCTTATCTAGGCAGTTCTTTTCAGAAGCTTTCCTGTTAAGGAAAGAAGAGAGGTGAGCAGCTAAGAGATGAAGAATCAAGGGAGGTCAGTCTTCAGAAGGTAGACTTGAGCATATTTATTATGTGCTTGGGGGCCCAAAGCCTATGAAGAAGGGAGTCCCTAAACAAGCTTGAGAGGCTAACTCAATTAGCCTTGCTGTCCCTGGTATTAGAGGGATTGTGGGTGTGGATACTGTGACACTTTGTGGTTGTAGGGGTTGGATGGGGGTCTCCCTTGTGGCCTCCCATCCTGAAGTAAGAAGTGGGGTTAACTGTTAACAGAAGGCGTGGGTGATAAGGTTAACAGAAGAGATAATGACTGCATAGATTTAAGGAGTATGCTAAAGATTTTTAAAAGCTGGTATGTACACGGGCTCAGTGGTTGAGCATCTGCCTTGAGATCTTTTATAGATCACTCCTATAGCGACAGTATGGATAGCTCAGGTCGTGGTCCTTGGGTCCTGGGATTGAATCCTCCATTGGGCTCCCCTCAGGGAGCCTGCTTCTCCCTCTGCTTATGTCTCTGCCTCTCTGTCTCTCATGAATAAATGAACAAAATCTTAAAAAAAAAAAAAACAAACTGGTGTGTACAGTGGAAGATGTTGCTAACCCAGAAGATTTATTAAGAATCCAGAGCAGAAGTGAAAACTTGTGAATTAGTAGTGACAACAGAGAATGGTAGTATTTTTTTTGGTGTTTAGTGGCTTGGCTGCAGGAACTGACAAAGCAGAAGGTTAGACTGATTCAGACTTAAGATTTTGCTCATAGAAGACAAAAAAATTCAAGATATTGACAGAAAGTGATATAAGTGATATGAAGCTGTGGTTAGAATAATTGAAATTTAAAATTTCAATAGAGCAAGTCTAATTCTTTTTTTCTAGTGTCTTTTTAGCTTAGAGTTGACTTGAGACTTGTTAAGCTAAAAATGGTGAAAAACTTTCTTCATTTTGTATGCTGGAGAAGATTAATGTTCTGAGGTCTCTGAGAGGAGCTTATTTGCAACTCTTTATCTAGTTGTGAGGGAGAGACAGAGGGACATGTGTAGGGAATAAACTTGAGCTGTGCGGGAGAGGTCTTTGCAGTGATAACAAAGGACACTGAACTTTTTAAAAATTTTTTTTGATACCCTTTTCATAGTAAAATATGGGTAATAGTTGTAGCCATCTCCCAGGACTCCTATGAGGGTTAAGTGAGAAAAGTGTTAAGTAGGTGATAGCAAATAATATTTTTGCAGCTGAGACTAAAAATTGTTCGAGGAAATACCGGCATTATCTATGAGCAGTCTTCCAGTTTAAAAAACTTTAAATGCCATTTTTTGAAATGTAACAGTGCTTTTTTTTTTTTTTTTTTGAGAGGGGAAGAGTACAAGCAGAGCAGAGGGAGAGAGAGAATCTTAAGTAGGCTCCACAGTCAGTGCAAAGCCTGATGTGGGGCTCCATTTCATGACCCTGAGATCATGACCTGAGCCAAAATCAAGTCAGACATTTAGCCAACTGAGCCACCCAGGCACCCTGTTTTTGCTGTTTTTTTTAATTGAGTTACATCTCCTGTAGACTGTAGAACTCACTCACTGTGTCCACACAGCCATCCTATTTGAAGACATTTGGCAGTTTCCAGTTTAAGATGTTCTACTACCCTCAGACTGAACTTTCAGGGTGTGTATAGGTCCTTTTATTAGTGCATCAGGTTTGGCTTAAGTTAGTCAGCTTTTTTCAAAGTTTCATGGGCTGCAAACAGATGGCCAAGTATCCTAGATAGGTCAAGGGCCTCCTGCTTTTAAACCAGTGAAAGTTTGATAAATTGTCCTGTTTCTAAATAAATGACGTTAATCATCCAAGAAAAATTGATCTTTTGGCCAGAAAGCTGCATATGGATTTGGGATTTGGGTTAATATGGGTTAAAGATAGCAAAACATATCCTTCTCAAAACAGGCAACTAAGTTCTGTGAAGATACAGTGATAAATTTATATATGCATTAAACACACACACTGTTTTTAGATATATATTTGTTTATACATTATATAATCTTAAAATTTTAATCCAGTTTTAAATTTAAATGGAGATGCTTAGTAATTAAAACTAGTTTAAGATTTTTAGGAATTTTTTGTTTGGAGGCTGATATGTTCATGCAGAAAAGAGGTTATACCCACTGACTGAGATCTTTTATAGATCACTCCTATAGCGACAGCACGGAAATGGTGAAGATCATTGTGCATACTGTTCAGAGTCAGGACCGGGTTCTCAAGGAGCTGTTTGGTCATCTGAGGTAGAAAAATTGTTTTATTTCCTACTGAAAAGCCAGGGTACTTTTATCATGTTCCTTTCAAAGTGTAATATCCTTTTTTTGTAAATATACTAGACCCAGGAAGATATCTGGCAATACCTTGGGTAACTTGGCCACAGTTGTGTGCGTTTAGGTGTCCTATTTGTGTGCATCACTTTGGAAATCAGTCACTAAATCTGGTGCTGATTGTGGTTCATTTTCCCAGTTGGGTGTGGGAGTATGGTATATAGTCTTAGGGGGATGTCTAATTGTGTGACACTGATTTCATCTCTCCAGCAAGTTATTGGGCTGTAAGCAGAAGATTATTGATCTACTGCCCAAGGTGGAAATGGCCCTCAGTAACATCAAAGAAGCTGACAATACTGTCATGTTTATGCAGGGAAAGAGACAGAAAGAAATATGGCATCTCCTTAAAATTGCCTGTGTAAGTAACTTTTAATAAATTATTTAATGTGACATTGATTTGCTAGTATTCTCTGCAAAAGGGATTCTTTTATCGGCATGAGCTGAATCCTTTTAAAGATGTCTGTATTTTGTGTTAAGGTTGATGCTCATGTTCTTTTCTTGGTGTTTGACTTCAGATGCAGGAGATCATGATCATCTTTCATTATTTCTTTCCTCTCTGGTCTCATGTTTATCTATTCCTTCCAGCCGTAGACCACTGTGGCATCCTATCCCAATTTGGGAATAGATGTGTGTGATCAGTTAATAAAACTCTAGCCCCTTGTTCAACTAGTTTTTTTTTTTTTTTCTCCAACAAAAGTGGAATGAGAAGGGCAAATACATTTGGTTTTAGGTAAGAAAGGTGGTCAAGGACAGGATAGTTTTGTACAGAAATACTTATAAAAAGGTGAGGATAATTTTGTGGTTGTGCATCTAAGCACTGGTAGAAGTGTAAATCTTAGGAACATTGTAGGAAATTGTATGAATCAATGCTGGTGCTTGCCTGTAATCTTATTTACTTTTTCTCCCTTCAGACACAGAGTTCTGCCCGGTCCCTCGTAGGATCCAGTCTAGAAGGTGCAGTAACCCCTCAGGCATCAGCATGGCTTCCTCCAAATTCAGCAGAACGTGAACATCCTCTGTCATGCGTGGTAACTCCTCAAGATGGGTGGGTTCACTTTGCAACAATAGATAGCTGTTTTCAAGAGCAGTGGTAGGAATGAGGTAGAGTAGAGCATAGTGGTTAAGAAATAGTCTTCAGTACTTTATACACCAGGGTTAAATCCTGACTGTCCCTTTTATAATAATGTCCCTTTGTAATAACCTTGGGCAAATTAACTTGATTCTTTAAATGTTCCCATTTCCTCACCTGTAAAATGGGAACTGTTCTGAAAATTCGATTAGATGTTGTATGTGAAGTGTATGGAAAGTAAATATCAGCACATGTTACTTATGTAGCTCAATCTAAGTGTTAAGTTCTTTCTCTGTTACTGGCTTAGCAATTCTTTTACCCAAGCTATTTCTTCCATAACTATTTATCTCAAAAGTTATGCTGTCTTTTGGATTTATCATTTTGGGGTCCTTGATCACCTTTCTAATGAATTATTGAGTGTAATCTACTTGATTTTATAACTTGGTATTTCTAAAATCAGGCTTTTTTCAATGCCTTAAGTCAGACTTGCAAATAAGAACTCAAGTGTGAAGCCTTATATTTTCTTTTATTAATTCCTACTCTCCTGCTAAAAGCTGAATGACTATCCATTTCTGTTATTTTTCTCAGCATAAGATGTGCCGTATCCAGAGCCAGTGGCTCTTTGCTAGCTTGTGTATTGTCGCTTTTCTCACAACTCATGGAGACCTCTACAGCAGCACCAGCATTACCTGGAAGCTCTGCCCATAATTAGTTTTGCAGAAGTGCAGCCATGTTACATCACTGCTCAGGAGGTCATGCAGTTGCACATTCTGTACTCTACTTTTATGAGAGAAAAGCACATGGCAGGAAGGAAAGCTGATATCAGGTATTTTATTTTTTTAAAGAAAGCAAGTTGTAGGGTGTATCTTGGGATCGTTAGAGATTTGGCCCAATGTAATACATCCACAGCTACAGCACAGGCTATATAATTTAATTGACTTTAGAAAATATTCCATTACTCAGAGTTGAAACAAATAATATTTAGTACATTACTAACCTTTTTACTTTTGTTAAAGGCATTTAGGTTAGGGGATGCTAATGGTTGCAAATGTTACCTCTATACAGTCAATTTCTAATTTGAGGTTGGGTTGTTAGCAAAAGCATGTCGGACGGAATTTTAAATATGTTTTCCAGTAGGAATACGTTATAAAGTAAAATTGATTTCAATTACAATGTGCACATAATACTTAACCACCAAGGTGGGATCTGTTGGATTCAATTTTTCATCTTTTGAATACGTGCTTTAGAATTAGAATTTAGTTTTGACCTTATAGTGGCTATCATTTATGGCCTAGAACTAATTCTAGTAAGGTAGAGACTGAGGGCTGGTAAAAGCTAAAGGATAGAGGCCAAATGGCAGAGGAAAGTGGGGAAGGTGGAAACCAAAATAAGGATTTTCTTCAAATACAAACTTCCAGAGATTCTTGTTGGTTCTGGGCAGCTACCTTATGATGCTATTTTCTTCTGCTGTCCTCAGAAATCAGCTTGCTTGTTTTCTTTTTCATCGCTGTCATCTGTAGTTTCCAACCAGAGTTTTCACCTTCCCTTATCTTTGCAAACCAGATTGTACTTCTTTATCTTCACCCTTATATTTGTGTCTCTGGAGTAAGCACACTGATATTTTTACTACTTATAAGGAAAGGAAAATATTCCAGAAACAAAAAGATTTTTCATCTGTCTGCGCTACAATTTTCTCTCCCACTCCACCCCCCATTAGCATTTTCCAAGGGTGGGGAGGGTAGTTGTATTTAAGTGCTGCTTATATTTTAGAGGAAAATGAGATTGCATTTATAATGGATTTCTTCTCATTCAAGCTGGGCAGAAGCAACAGCTTGCATTAATAAGCAAGACTCTGCCTCTGGGTGGGAGGGATAAGGAAACTGAAGACTATAGGAATCAGCTGCACTGGGGTGCTAGGTTGCAGGGCTGCAGGAGGGGCAGTGATTATCCTGACCCTGAAGACCAGAAGGTAGAGGAAATTTGTATGTCCCTTTGCTGCATTTGAAAAGGCTTTGTTTTTTCATCATACAGGGAGACTATAGTACAAATGATAGAAGAAAATTTGAACTGTCTTGGCCATTTAAGCACTATTATTCATGAAGCAAATGAGGAACAGGGCAGTAAAATGATGGTAAGTTTTATATGGATATGGGTATGTTTTGACTTTCCATGCAAGGCCACCTCTGGCATTTGGGATGCATATGGGGAAAAGGAGAACTCAGAAGAAAGAGAAAAGACATTTAAGTTATATCTTTGACCTCAGATCCCGATCTTCTCTTATTCATGGATATACTAGGATTATGTCATTAGTAAATCTCCAGCAGTAGCATTTTCGTCAAATTAAATGAAGGGTGAACTTTTTTTGCAATGTGACCACTGAAATTGAATGGTTTGTACCTTTTTGCTTCAGTAATCAATTTTCTTCAATAAGATGGGGCAGGATTTGTACTGTAACTCAAATATAATAACAGCTGTATGTAAAACGAATAATGTTAATACAGTCAAAATTAATAGAAATATTAAGATTTGGTTACTGTGAATTACTGATTTGTTAAAACTCAGAGAAACCACAAAAAATGTTTATTGAGTTAACTTTAATACAGTTAGTCTCAAGGTCAATTGTTTGTATTTCCTTTCATTAATTATTTACTTCAAATATTTATGAAAACTGAAATATTTTTTTTGAAATATTTTTTTTAATCGGCAGGACAGAAGGTAAAATTAAACTAACTGTAACTTATACTTTGATTTTTCAACTTTTGATTATAAAATGTCCAAACACACAGAAAACCTGCAAAAAGTAACACCCATAAACCTACTGTTTATAGTCAATATCTAATTATAATTTTTTCCATGCTGGTTTTAGAATCTTGATTGGAGTTGGTTAACAGAATGACTTGCTACTTATTCAGTGTGCCCAAACTGACGGAGATTGTTGCTGCACATGCAGGAAATTTGTTTTTCTCCCATGAAAACACTCTTCAGACACCAACAAATGGAAGAAATGGCTATGATCAGAAAAAATGCAAGATTTTACAAGCACGGTATTTTGACTTTGTGAAATTTTAACCCCTAAACAGAATTTTAACCTGTGAACAGAGAATTTTAAATAAGTCAGTGGACTTGTTTAAATATGATAGCTACTTAAGCATATCATGGCAATCCATTTGTCTTCAAACATGATAAAACACTTAACTGACTAAAAACCATCTTTTACCACTAAATTTTGGGCATAAGGCCAAAATGCAGAAAACAAAACCGATATGCAGAAAACAAAACCTCAACTAATGTATGTGTTTGGCATAAGGCCAAAATGCAGAAAACAAAACCGATATGCAGAAAACAAAACCTCAACTAATGTATGTGTTGTAAGTAAAAGTTGTTTGCCTGTTTTTGTGGGAGAGATTGGTCTCAAGTAAAACTGTACTTCATGAAGAATAAACTCTACCTCCTTTTGTTGCATTTAGAAATGCTCTTCCTGGCAACATAAGGAGTTGACTTAATTTTAATTTTACTGCACATTTGATAATATCCCTTTCCTATAGAAGGAATTGTGCATCTGTGCCTTTAATAAGTTGACTCTCATCTTGTTAGATGTGCTGTGTGTATATGTATTTAAGATGTACATTTAATAATATCAAGAAGATGCCTGTTAATTTATAATGTGTTTGAAAACTGTTGTTTTTTCATTTGTAAAAATGGGTCATTTGTTTAACGAATTTTTCATGTCTTGTCCTACAAATTTATAAAGATCTGCACTCCCTTATCTGTAATTCCAAAATCAAAACTCTGAAAACAAGGTTTTTTATAAGCTTGGTAACAAAACTCATTTGCTTGAAAATCTAACCTGAACTGACATTGAATCTACTTATCCCATTTAGTGTGAATATTCATTTATTTTGCTGTGGAAATATTAACATATTTGATTATTGGGAGTGGGATGGGGCTGCCACAGACCCTGCTGGGTGTTTATGTAGTATGGTATATGCACTGAATTACCTTTCTAAAATCCAAAAATTTCATAATTCTGAAACATCTTGTCCTAAGGGTTTCAGATAAAGGATTGTGGATCTATCACCTGTTAAATAATTTAGAAGGTATTATGTGTTTTTAAAAAATGTGAAATGCTTTTATATTATAGTTTTCCACTTTGTGTATTAAATGATTTTTAAATTACTTTTAGAATCTTTATTCATTTTAATCAGATTATGATAGGTTTGAATATGGTTTAGGAAAATGTGAAGATTCCATGAAGTGGAACTGAAGCACAGAATATAACATCATAGGCCCTCAGTGTACTTTCCTTAGGAATTAAACAGGACTTACAGTAAAAACAGCATTGGGTAACTTCTTTTAATATAGTCTTTTCTTCTGAGATGTCCTGTCACCACTGTGTTTAAAATCCATGCTCATATCTTGGTCTATAAACCGAGGTCTTAGTCACACCATCCTCATTTTGCTAGTAGTGCCGCTTTACACCATGGATCTTGGGGCTGTCTTCTAAATTTTAACTCATCTGATACTACTGTTTCTCTAAAAATGGAAATTCTGTCAGCTATTTTGACAGGCAGTCTATCTCTTGCTTCTCCAGTTCTAGAGAGTTTTAATAAAACATGTATGGGTACCTGCGCTTGGAAGATGATGAGCTAGATGCCAAGATCAGAAACAGTTAACTAAAGGCAATACAAGAAGAATGCTTATCTGGGAATCTGAACATTGCAAGCCATCCAAGCATTGAAATGATTGTTGAAAGAATTTATTTAGATGATTGTGTATTTTCTAAATATCACTGTGGTAACTGATAAAAGAGCTGTTATAGGGTGTGGCTATTTTATGGTGTGGCTGGGGTGATATGGGCAGGTGCTATGAGTCAGAACAGGTTATAGTGAGAGTTCACCTAAGACTTATTTCTGATGTGTGAATTGACTATTTTTTTATTGGGGCACATCTTTTCAGAGTTGAATGGCATTTGTGAATGTCTACATTTCATTCTTTAATTCCAGCAGTATTATGAAAAATGAAGAGAATCCATCTAGAAAACTGGAACAAGTTGTTTTTCCTTCTTTTTGCTTTCTGGAAATTAAAATAGCTAAGTTTTGCTGATATCATTTATCTGGAACAGACAAGGTCCCAGATATTTGTAGGTAATTAAAGTCTTAGGAACAATACAGGTAAGTGCATTTATTGAAGGGAGACGGCAGAGTGGCCTGGGAGGGCTTGCTACTTAAAATCCTATTTAGGACTTCCCATTTTCACAATTACTGCCTTTGTAACCTTGTGATGAAGTTTTGGAATATAGGGGAGGTCTGGAGCTGACAACCAAGAAAGAATTGAGAGGTCTGTGGTGCAAAGTGGTGGTTTTATTAAAGCACGGGGACAGGACAGAACCTGTGGGCAGGAAGAGCTGCTGCCCCGGGCTTGTGAGGAGTGGCTGATTATATACCTGGGAGTTGGGAAGGGTTTGGGGATAGCATACTCTCTAAGGAGTTTGGAAGCAAGGTTTCCAGGACCTATTGTTGGGAAAAGGTCATTTATTACCGTCTAATAAAACCTTAGGCAGGAGACCCTTCAGAAGTGTATCCGTGAGCCATGTGCTTGGGGGATGATTGCCAACATGATTCTTGAGGGGGTTTAAAGATAAAGTTTCTAAAGGAATTTTTACATGTTAAGGTAGACTTATAGGATCCGGGGGGTCGGGCTAAGATTGCCTTTTGCCCTTAGCAAAGTATTAACATCGAGGCGGTTGAGTCTGTTAAGGAATGTCCCTCTGACTGTCCCAAGGACTTCTAAGTGTGCTGCCCTGGGCTTGTGCTTTGTCCTCAGCTAGTCCTCTGTTCCCCCATCACTTGGGCCTGCAGTTTCCTAACCACTTGGCTTCTCCGCCTGCAATCTGTCTCCACTCTTAGCCATTCTGCAGACTCATCGGGCATAAAGTACTGTTTTCCCATACTTCCCCGCCCAAAGTTACACAGCCCTGCCATGATAATCTCCCTTGCCCAATTGTCCCACTAGCCTTTCTGGGTTTACAGGATTACTGCCCAACCTACTTTAAATATGCCGCCTTTTATTTCCCTTGCATTCATCCATCTCATTCCCATCTCTACTCTTTAATTTTGTCCTTTTTGTTTTTAGTAATGTATGTATACAATCCATAACAGAAGACTGCGGTTAGGGAAAAATGAAGTCCTGTTCTCTAGTCATGCACCTCCCTCTCCCTGGGAAAAAAATGCATGCAAACCTTTCAAAATCTGGGCTTGGCCTAGCCTATCCCATCCTCCTCCTCCCCCCCCCCCCCACACACATACATCACACTGTGTGCTTAGCGCATTCTGTTCCTATCTGGAATGACCTTCATGAAGCCCTCGCTGGATCAGTATTCTGGCACGTTAATCATTCTCAGAAATACACCTGATGACGAAAGATGTGCTCAGACTGAAGATCCTTCAATTCTGAATTTCCACACTACTTTTCCTGCAACAGGTCTACTGCTCCTGAATTCGCACAGGATCCGTGCCTGAAACACGTGCTTGTCATACGGTTTAAACCACAAAAAGACAAAACAGCCACCACACGGAGAGTGCGGGAGTCGGGTTTCTGCACAAGAACTAACTGACCAGTCCCTCATCCCAGGCGCCATCTCCTTTCCTCTACACCCCAGCTTACTCCCGACGGCCGACATCCCTTCTCTTCCAGAGCAGGAAACCAGCATTGCGCAGACAGGAGCGCACGTACCTCCAACGGCGGGAGGCCGCGAGAATTTTGTCCCGCCCGCTCTCCGTCTCTCTAGTGGCGCGACGAGCGCTGCGTCGGCGTGCGTGGCTGCGCAGCCGCAGTGCCGGCCGAGTGGGCGGGGCCGACTGTTGGCGGCGGTTGGCGCGGCCCGGGAGGCGGCTGCACGTGCGGGCGGGGGCGATGCGTCACTGATCCGTGAGGCGCGGCCTTAGGGTCGGCCTCCCTCCGGAGTCTGCGGCCCGCCGCTTCTCAGTTAGTGCCTTCCGCCGAATTTGGGGGCGGGGGGTGGGG